GCTGCCACCGCAGGCTGTGCTCTGGGCGTGTGATGACCCTTGCCGGCCCCAGTTTCCCCCTCTGTGCTGCACACATCAGCACACACAGCTGTGCCTTGGGGACGCTGTACACCTGGGCCAGACAGACCCTCCTGCCATCCTGTCTGCACTCCTCTGCCAGCGGTGCCTGGCCACCTTCTTCAATTTCCTGTGCCCCAGGCACCTCCATCTCACAGGCTCCTTCATCCATGGAACCAGATTTAGCATTACACTCATGGCTGGTGTAAGCATGAATAGGTCATTATTATGCACCAAAGAGTTCATTTGGTCTTCTCATTTTAAAAGAAGTTAAAATATTTTTGAAGCTGGGTATGGTGGAGCACTTGGGAGGGTAGGGCTGAGGCAGGAAGATCGCCATTAGTTCCAGGCCAGCCTGCGCTACATAGCAAGTCCAAAGTCCGCCTGAATTACATAGTGGGAGTCTGTCAAACAAAACAAAACAACATCTTTGCAGCAGTCCTCAGCAGTTGTCTCACTGTGCCTATGTCCAGGTGGGGAAATCAGCTGGAAACACCACATGAGACCCCAACAGACAAGAAAGCCCCACCTCTCCCTAGGGCCTTCAGAAAAACTCCTAGGACAGACTCCGATTGGACAGACTTAGGTCACGGGAACTGATCCTGAGCCAATCCCAGGGCTGTGAGATGGAATATGTAGGTTAGGGGTGTGGCCTGTCACCCCTGGAGCTGAGTTCCAACCCAGCACCTTCCCTGGGAACAGGTGCCCTCACAGGGGTGATGGCAGGAGAGTCTTAGAAGGGACAAATGGCGTCCACTAAGGGGATAGTGTGCATGTCCACCGCCAGGGTCTCTTCCCGTACAGCCCAGGGCTGAGGCCATGACTGAGCTGGTGACTACCTAGCCAAGCTCTGTTCTTCTGGGAGAAGGGCACAGGGCAGTTTTTGTCCAGGGAAGGAAACAGGACCAGCTGTGCTGTCCCCTGCTGTGGCTGGACCCCCTGCCCCTAGCCCAGGGAGGGCCAGCCCTCCAGGAGACAGGGAGAGGTCAGGGTCCAGAGGGAGGGGCAGAGTCTCTGAGGTGGCCCCGCGTGAACCAGCGCACTACCTCCACTTGCCCATCCCCAGCACCGACCTGGCTCTCAGGAACAGAGTGCGGTGGCCTCCAGCAGCTGCCCATGGTGATGGTGCCAGAGATGCACACACCTGCTGCAGGCTGGGACAGGGATCTGCAGCTGCAGGGCCGGCTGCCCGTCCCCATCCTCAGGGTCCCACAAACACTTCCAGTCACAGGGAGAAAGTTCCAGGTTCCCATGGTGCCTGGGGTCCCACCCACAGGCCAAGAGTCACAACTCTGAGCTGTGCACACGCGCACACACACACACATAAACACACATGAAAGTGCAGGCACACGAGGACACACACAAGATCATACCACATGTGAGCATGTGTGTGGACACAATGCATGCACACTGCACACACATGTGCACTCACAGGCACATATGTTTCCTAGGATGATACAGGACTGTAGTCCAAACAATGCACACACACAGCAAGTGTGCACACAGCAGTGGTCCCCGCCTGCGGAACACCCCATCAGTGACCTCCCTGGCAGGAGAGGTGCTGGCTGCTGGGTGGCCGGTGACAGGGTCCCTGCCGTCCTGCCCACTTCCGACCCCCTGAGGGGCGGGGTCAAAGGTGAGGGTCACAGCTGGGCCTCAAAGAGCACACAAGGCGGCCTTGTGTGGGACCAGCGGCTGAGCTGTCTTGCTGGGCTGGGGTCACCACGGGTCCATTTTCAGCTCCGCCTCTGCCCGCCAGAGGCTGGGGACAGAGCAGGGGTTGTTTGCAGTGCCGCCCCCAGCTGTAACCTCGCAGGGTAATTTCTGCAGCAACGATGTGGGCACAACTTGGACCAAGCTACAGTTCACCACTATGGATACATGCAGCTGCCTGGCTAAGACTGAGGTGATAGGGAATGGGCATGCGGCATTTGGGGAAGGGAAGGGCCGGTGCTCTGGTCACCCACTCTGGCCAGAGGTGCTAATCAGCATGATTCCAAGTTACTGCTGTCCCTCAGGGACCATGCAGGCCTGGCCACGGCTTCCCCATCTGGAGGCTTTGCCTGCAGCTGTGTCTTCAACCATGTTCTGTTCTTGAGGTCTGACTGACTTCTTCCAGCACCCAGTCCCTCTCTGACTGTCAGCTGTGATCTAACTTGGCTGCCTAAAGTAACCTCTGTGGCTCCCTGGCTTCTCCCTACAATCCTTGGCATTGAGCACTCATTCTGTGTGTATCTGCCCTGTTGTATTTTCTTTGGTAAAATTCTGTGTGACGCTTCTGCCAGCACTAGAACACTGAGCCTAGGTCATGACTACTGAAAGCCTCGGCTCTGTGTGCATTCTGGACATGAGTTCCAGACCCGAGAGTGACCTGAAGATTTCCTCTGCCTGGCCGTAGTGGTGGCTGCTCCTGTCATTCTATGAATGGTGCGCCTTGCACAATGAAAGACTTTAATGTTGGTGAGAGCTGTCGAGGTCTCCTTTTCAAGTCACACTTTCAGCATCGGCTACCCCAGGGTGACAATATTCTCTCCTACTTTCTTCTACAGTTCTGTACCTCACCCTTTATGTTCTGAGCCTGCTGCATCCTGGCGGTCTCTGGGCAGGACCCGGGGTCCATGGAGGTGGTCTTGCACATGGACATCAGGCAGTTGAGCTTTTGTTGATGAACCTAAGTCTTTGCTCCCTGAGGGTGCAGCCGCAGATTTAAAGGTGCCCTGTTCTCTCTGGTCTGCTACTGCTGGAGGAACGACAGGCCTGAGCCTGGAGGGCGTCACCTCACCAGCCCAGCCTGGAGAGTGCTGCTGCCTGTGGCTCTTGCGTCTATGTCTGGGTGCAGTGAAGAGACGCAGCTGCCTCCAGGAGGGCAACAGGAAGTCCTGCTGTGGTGTCGCCCACTCTTGTCCCCCAGGAGCCTTTGGGTCCCGGGTCCCACTGCAGTCCAGGGGTGGCATTTGTGGACCAGCACTTTCCCAGGTCCTCAGGGATCCCCAGGGCTCCAGGACTGAGAACCGTTGCTGGGGCAAGGTGGCCCCCTGCAAGGCCCCTGGCTCTGAGTGGCTCCACCCCAGGTAGTGACCCAGGGCTCTTCCTTCTCACCTGGCTCTTATCCTGAGCTCTGGTCCCCATCCCAGGGAACTGTAACTAGGTCTCCCAGGCAGATGGATGGAAATGGCATTCACAGCGCTAATGAACTTCCCTCCCCTGCACAGCTCCTCATCACTCAAGATGCAAATTGAAATCAGTAGAAAGTGGTGGGGTGTGGAGCCAGGGAGGGCGGTCTGTGCCGGGGAGGAAAGGGGCTTCAGGGCTCCTGGCTTCACGGGGCCAAGTGGCTCAGGGCCACCCAGCAGGTCAGGCCCCATGTTGCCACCATGGGGACGTGGCTGGAGACACTCAGAGCCGGTCTGGGTGCCCTGTGCCCTCCGGGCTCTTGAGGGGAGTATTTACCCTAATTATCGCATGTCACTGCTGTATCCCACCTGCCCCTCAGCCGGGGAAGCAGCTGCCTGGACGCCCACACCGGCCCAGTGCACTGACCACCTGACTGCCTGTGCTGTGCGCCCCTCCTTTCCTGAGTTTGCTGTGCTCAGTGCCAGTGGCTGAGCCAGAAAGTGTGGGCTGCAGGGACAATGACCAGAGCAAGACCAAGTCACTCCCATGTCATGTATGGCCTTGAGACCCAAAGGCAGCCACCAACCAGGGACACCAGGCTGCCCAGGAAGGAAACTGACCACAGGGCTAGTGGGGCTCCCAGAGCCACTATGTGGCAGGGTGTGGCTCGGCCTCAGCCACTCCGTAGGCCAATGTATCTCTCCCTGGTTGGCCCTGCAGCTAGGGACTCTGTGGGCTTTGGGAGCTCTGTGAACAGTGTCAGACACTGTGGGAAGACGCTCCTGCGGAAGGCCCCATATGCCATCACTGGGGCATCTCCTCGTTCTATGCAGTTATTGCCAAATTTTGTGCATCCCCTCAAGTACGCCCACATCACCCAAAGCTGCACTCTCAGCTTCTGTCCCAGGGCCAACACCTTACCCACACCTTGTGCTCTACACCAACCCCGTCCTGGAGCCCAGCCCAAGGAGGCTGGCTGAGAGTTCCTCTGTTCTCCATGTTCTTGGGGCTCTTTGGTCCGGCTTCTCCATGACTAGCCTACTGAAAGGTGACTAAGGTGTTTCAGACATTGATAACACAATACTGTAGACTTTTTGTTCAGGGGGTGAATAAGCCTCAGGAACCTGCGCTTCAGCACACCTACTGCTAACTACACTGTACTGTGAGCTTGAAATTTTCCTAAGAGGGTCACCGTCACAGGAAGTGTCCTTACTATAAAAAAAGGACACAAGGAGGCTTGGGAGGTGATGGATTTGTGTATCACCTTGATGGTGATGCGTGGTTGTATGCATTCATCCAAATTCAGCAAACAGTACATATTAAATATGTGCAGCTTTTACACAAAAAGCATCAATAAAAAGCATCAACAATTTTTATTAAAAAAGGAAACATCTGTATAATTCTGTAGTAACTCCTGAGAATCTGTCTGTAGGGAAAATTAGCTGGAATGTGACGTCAAAGATAAAGAAACGTGACATTATTTACACAGCAAGTTTTCTGGACCTGACGGTGGAGCACCCCGCCAGCAGAACCCACCAACCGCCCAGTGTCCCAGCAGCACCTCCCGCCAGAGGTCCACTGCTAAAAGCAGAACCACCACTACCCCACCCACTGCAGAGGAGCCAGCGCGGTGTCCAGCACCGCGCTTTCGTCACATTCCCCCGGAGAAGACGCAAATAAAAAATTTACCATTTCCTACAAACATCATCTCCATTGTAGTGGAGCGTCTGAATGAGAAAACTAAGGCCTATTTGTTTTCTGTCGGCTCCAACGGCTCAGATTCCTGGCGAATCTGCAGCTGCTCTCTCCGGAAGTGCCTCCCTCGCGCCGGAAGTTGCTTTCCCCCATTTTGTGGTCCGCCATGGCGGCGATGTTGAAGTTGAGACCGGAAAGTGGGGTCTTTGACTAAGTGGTTAGGCCAGACGAGGCAAAGAGGACGTCGCGCGGCGCAGCAGAGGACCGGCCCGGACGCTGTGGACGCTGTCATGTACGGCGCAGGAGGTGGCCGCGCCAAGCCGGAGAGGAAAGGCGGCGCGAAGGAGGAGGCTGGGCCCGGCGGCGCAGGCGGTGGGGGCAGCCGAGTGGAGCTGCTGGTCTTTGGTTATGCGTGCAAACTGTTTCGGGACGACGAGAGGGCCCTGGCCCAGGAGCAGGGACAGCATCTCATCCCCTGGATGGGGGACCCCAAGATCCTCATCGACAGGTCGGTTCCTCCCCCGCCCGCCGCCTCTCCCCTCCCTCGCCCGCTTGATTTCGCCTGATGTTGACTCGGTGGCCGGGACAGGACCAGGGTCTTGCGGAGCCGCGGGGCGCGTTCGGGGAGGGGACGGTGAAGCCCGCCCTGAGGCTCTACGAGAGCGACTCACCGGGTTGGGGAGCCAGGGCGCTTTGCTCCTGAAACCTCTTTGGGACCCGGAGCCGGCCTGAACCTTTCTTGCCTCGGCGCCTACACCCCTCGCGCAGTCTGATCTCTGACTGACGGAAGGTCGGGGCGAAGTCAGCTGAAAGCGGGTTGACCCCTGCGGATCCTGACCTACTCCGGGGGTCGCGATCTTAGGGCCGGTTTCACTGTCTCCTAAAACCGAAGGGTGGAGCTGGGCTCCCGACGTGTTACTTCTCAAATCATGCCCGTTTTAGGTGACCCTCCAGGGGATCCAGCAATCGCGGGTTAGGGTGGAGGGGCCAGGATGGGATTCCTAATGGTGCTTGATTTGAAAAGGATGACGTTACGTGTTGTAGGTTGTTTGCTCCCTCCTCTCTCACTTTTTCGGTCCCCTTTCTTCCTTCTCCTATCCTATGGGGTTTGAGATTTTCTGCCAGTTGGGCAACACTACTTCTGGGGACTGGACTGAAAGGCTAACGGTGACCAGCCATTAAGCTTTGGAATAGTCCTCCAAGGGAAGGAAGGCCGTCGTTTGAGACAATTAAAACTGGATTCTTCAAAGTCCTGGAACATGACTGTAGGGATGACCTCTGAGCTGGCCAGAATGGACACATTAATGGCCAAATAGGCCTTTGCCCTACCTGATGTTTCCACCTGAAGGTGGATCTAGGAAGCAAGAACTCCTGGAGGGAGGGGACTGATCAGATCAGCTCTGGACCCGATGGCTCCAGCTCTGCTCAAACACTGAGCCTTGAACCTCCATGGTTTATTGCTAATGATGTTGCCTGTTACAGGCTTGCTTTCCAAAGTGTGTCTTGTCACATGTATCATTAAAGATCTGCTCTTGATACAGTTTCCATATCATTCTGTACATGATTTGAGTCAGGTCTCCCAAAACTGGTGGGGAGCAAACGCTACACATGTACACGTGTAATATTTTTAAATAATAATCTACATTTGTAAGTTAAGGAGGTTTATATCAAAGTAAAACTATTTTTTAAATTTAATAAAATTCAGTACTTGCGTTCCTTGGAATCGTTGGCCTTTTTTCCCTATAAATGCCTTTTTTTCTGTTAATTTTGTTCCTATTTCAAAAGTCAGCACTAATAAGTTAAGCAGACTTTTGTCACTTTACATTTGCTTTTGCAACTCATTGAGTGTTGTTTTTTTTTTTAATTTAGTCATTATCTGATAGTTAAACATTGGCAACATCTTCATTGAATCTCTTTTATTTTCAATTTGGTACTTACTGGTCCATGCAGGAAAAACATGGATCTGTCTTCACTTATTTTGTTTCCTGGGATATAAAGTTTAGAAGGAAGTACTGATACTGCATCTTCTAATGGTTTTGCCTGTTTCCCGTGAACCTCCTTAAACTGCATGTATATGTCACTGTTCCTATGTATGTGTGTCTCTCTACCACATAACCCAGCACTTCTTTCCTCAGCCAAGTGGCTAGGGGGCGAGCCTAGCCAAGATTTTACCTCCAATGGACGCAAGTGTCTTTGATGAAGATCTCTCCTGAGCGTTCGGGACTAGCAGAAAGAAGCGAGGAAATTTCGACCGTTTGGTTCTTACGGATAGGTATTTATGTATTTGGTTTGTGTGAATGTAAGATATGATATTTAACTTTTCAGAAAAAAGTTTGTTTTTTGTTTTTTGTTTTTTGCAAGTAGCATTGAATGGTTGACCCAACCATACAGGGTAAGACCTGCTAGTGAGGCAAATGCTACTTAAGATGAAAGGACTGTCCACCTCAGTTATTAGCCTTAACATGCTGTGGAGCAGAATTCAGATTTTGTTAAGATAACATGAGTTTAAAAGTAGGTGAGATGTGACTAGCCACGTTAACTATAAATCTGGGAAGAGTTTGACATTTGTTTTAATATTTTTATTTCGTTATTTTAAGTGGTAAGTATGTACCTAGAGTGTCACAAGCAAGCAGCCAAGGCAGTGACTTCTGTCTGCTGACCAGCCTGTTCACATTACAGATATGATGGGCGCGGTCACCTGCATGACCTCTCTGCCTACGATGCCGAGTATGCCACTTGGAACAGAGACTACCAGCTCTCGGAAGAGGAGGCGCGAGTAGAGGCGCTGTGTGATGAAGAGAGGTATTTAGCCTTGCATACGGACTTGCTTGAGGAGGAGGCAAGGCAAGGTACTGCTCAAGAAAGACTTACTTCAGCCACAACTTTTTACAATTTTAAGTATTTAAAAATTTACTCCCATTCATTTTTTTTATACTCACTCTTTCTGATATTATCTTGACAGTACCCAGTGGATTGGAAAAACAGGAGTCTTTGCGTTCTGAGAGGACCTCAGGATAGTTTATATATAGAGCCACAAAGAATTTTCCCAGCTTTTGAGGGCAGACTGGGATTTGAAAAAACAAAAACCAAACTCTTTAACTGTTCTTCTTTAACAGTATCGTATGAATTAAAATTGATGTTCTTTGTCTTTGCCTTAACAATCTTTAATACAGTTCTTAATCCCAAAGTTTTCTTGGCAGGAAGAAATTTTCCACAAAGATGTGTATTCTGCTGTCTGTGGTAAACATGTACTGGCAAAAGTGCATATTGATAACTATAAAGTGTGTGTGTTTAGAAACATTTGTACCTCAAAAAGAGGTTGAAGACAGTGTGTTGTATGCTTTACTGACTGATAGCTACAACTTTAGAGATGTATATAATTTTTCTGAGTAAACTTCATTTTTGTTAATAAAATTCTTATTTTTATTCAAGAGGAAGAGTACAAGCGATTGAGTGAAGCCCTCGCAGAGGATGGGAACTACAGCGCTGTAGGGTTCACTTACGGCAGTGACTACTACGACCCATCAGAGCCCACAGAGGAGGAGGAGCCTTCAAAGCAGAGAGGTGAGGAGCAAGACCACCTGGCTGATGAGTGGGCGCAGGCAACCATTGCCTTGCCCCTTCCGGATTCTAGGAGAGATGGTTAATAGGTAGAAAATGAACTCTGTCTTTGGTTACCTGAACAGACCCACAGTGCCTTTTCATACATCCCTCTTTGGTTCAGGGGATGGTGAGGTACACACCGGATTCTTTGTTCTTGGGTTGATGATGCACTTGTCAGTATCTCCAATGTTCATTCTGGGGCATTGATAGGATCGGCATTGGCTAGTGTTAGGGTTAGCAATTTCCTTTGCACGAGCAACTTGCTTCTGCTTACCCCTCCACAGCTGAAGGGATGGCAGGTATTGGGCGGACACCTGGAGAGTGGGTTAAGATAAGCAGAAAGAAGCACAAGACTTCTTTTTCCCACTACTAGGGGTTGAGTGTAGGGCCTTTGGACCCAACTAAATTTCCTGGCTTTGTTTTATGTTGTTGCTGCTGCTGCTGTTGCTGTTGCTGCTGTTCTTTTGTCTGGTTTTATTTGTGGGCAGGGTTCTTACTGTTTGTTTTATATTTGGTTTGGTTTGATTTTTTGGTGTTTTGAGACAGGATCTTGCTTTGTAGTTCAAGTTGGACTTGAACTCATTATGTAGCCCAGGCCAGCCTTGAACTTGCAGTAACCCTTCTGCCTCAGCCTCCCAGGTGCTGGGATTACAGATGTGAGCCATCTGTTTTTATTTTTGAGATAAGGTCTTCTTAAGTCCCCAAGTTGCCCAGGCTGGGCTTGAATTTGTGATCCTCCTTCCTCAGCCTCCCGGTGTGCTGGGATTATAGGCATGTGACACCATGCCCGGCTACATAAGACTTTTAATATAAAATTTAAAATTATAAATGAGTGCTTTCCTGGATCAGCTGTGGAACTTTGAGTATAAAAAATAGTACTACCAAAGAAACCTAAGCTCGTGTAGTATAGGAGGAAGCAACCTTAGCCACTTCCTTAAAGGCCTGGGAGCACCATCATCCCAGCAACACGTACCCATGTTGTCAGTTACAGACAATGATAGGATATGAGGCTGAGACGTTGGGGACCCTCACATGCAGACACTCTGGAGGAGGAGAAGAACCCTGAGTTTGGAAATGCACTCAGATATGTGAAATAGCAAACCAGATCACAGCTACCAAGACTTCACGTCAAAGATAACATCCTCTGTTACCTCGATTGGTGTTTGTTCTCCTTGTGTGACAAGTCTGAGGGAGCTGCCCAAGGGTCATCCACACATCCTCTAAGAGGTGTGGTTACAGCAGGACAGCAGACATTCATAAGCCAGGCCCACCGTGGCCCTGTTGGCAAAAGAATACTGTGCACAGTGCTGTTTGTGAGCTTGCAGCAAGACTTTCCATGTGTAGTTTGAAGCAGGTGGAGTTAAGTGCTGGTTGATATTTTATGCAGTGACCTGTGAACCTAACTGTCCTTCTGAGTTTATGATGTGCAGGAAATCTTGTGGGTCTAAGCAGCAAGTATTTATCCAGAATAAGATCTTTGTTCAGGCTACAGATAGTTCAAATGTTGTCATCTTGTCTCTGGATCACATACATTCTTTTCCTTAATATCCAGTTGTTTTTTTTTTTTATCAGAAGAAAGATATGAATTGTCACTGCATCACTACTGAAGAATCGACATGTGTAAAGGCCACCTGTCTTTTCAAGCTCATAAAATCTTTAGAAAAGTCCGTATTCCTAACATTCTAGACTAGGTGTGAGCAAGCAGTGACCACAGGCCCTGTTGCCAGGTTTTTATAAATAAAATTTAATTTGCACACAACCATGCCCCTTTGTCCCGCCTGCTGTGGATTGTGCTCTTACAGCAGAGCTGAGTGGCTGAGATGGACTTCAGCCCAGAGCTGGCAGTGCTGGCAGCCTGGCGTCTCTCAGTTTGTGATGCACTGAGCATGTCGGTGGGTGTCTTTAGTAAGCTCAGTGAGATAGTCTTTGTTCTAGTGATTTAATTCTAAGGATGTCCTGCGACTCCTTTTCTAAGTTCTCTTTAGCATTTTATAATGTTTTTTTCTTTCTAGACTCATGTTCTCAGCATATGCTGATTAATATTTTTAATGGAAATTGGGCTTGAGTGACATGGCATGTTTAATTTGTGCATGTAAATAAAATACCATCCGTATACTTAACAATTCAGTGTGGTGTCCAGCACCACTGACAGCCAAACTCAGTGTCACATTCTTTTGAAATAAAAAAATAAAATAACTTTTTTGTCTTCCTGAGCCATTTCCATGATTTTTTAAAAATTACTGTATTAGCAGTTTCAGTATTTTCAGGCCTGTGGTCCTGGCCACAGTGCTTGCTGAACCTCTGTATGTGCATGACTTGGCTCCCTCCCTCAGAAGCACATCTTCCGGCCTGGTCCCTGTCATGGTACGGGTCCATCTCTTTTAAAGAGGTTATTTGAATTTATGTGGTTCTGAGTTTGTATTGCAGTGGTTTTTATTTCACAGTACTAAAGTTATTCCCCTTAAACAGAGGTGTGTGTCAGAATGGACCAAATCTCTACCCATCTCTTTCACCCACTTCTTTGTACTAGAAATGCCTTTGTTGTGAACAGTTTCAATCACTTTTTATTTTAGGAAAATATAGTGAAAGTCCTGTCCTAGTCTTATTCCCAAAAAGGATTTGAGAGAACTGAGTTGTTAGGTGGCATTTTTCAGATAGCAAATTCTTGCACATTAGTGTGTATAATACTCTGCAGTACCACGCTGCCATCTGGTTACTAGAGCAGACCAGTGGGGCTGCTGATTACAGGAAGTCTTGGCTAGCCGTGACTCTGCAGAAAGCAAGGGACCCATGAGCAGAAGCAGGGGACACTTTGTTTACCTCTCACCTGGGGTTTGTAATCAGCTTGAATATCATCAGAGTTTTCATGTACAGTGAAACATGCTCAGAATGTACCCGTTTGTTCACTGCAGAGCAAGGTTTGAGAGAAGACACCTGTAAATCATTGATCTGCACAAGAGATGTGCAGTGCATGGTGGGAATATTTATTTTAATGAGGACATTTTTTTTCTTTAATGTTACCTTTTTCAGAATAAAAACCTAAAAGTATGATGAAGTCCTTTAAAGTGTTACTTTTTTGCCAGGTATGGTGGCACGTGCCTGTAATCCCAGCACTGTAAGAAGCGAAGAGGACCACAAGTTTAAGCCCAGCCTTAGCAACTTAGTGAGACCTTGTCTCAGAATTTAAAAGGTCAACCAGAGATTTAGCTCAGTGGCACTGCACCTGCCTTGCAAGTGCAAGGTTCTGAATTCAATCCCCTGTACAAAAAAAAAAAAAAATGATCCAAGGATGTAGCTTAATGAGAAGGCCCTCGGTTCAATATTAGTGAACCAGAGAATTTGCTTTTCAAAGTTTTATGCTGAATTTTTACACATATTTCACTATATCCTTTTAAATTAGTAATTGTGGGTTGTTGAAATTTACAGAGTTGTAAATTTACTGAGTGTAGTTTGTACCTTGTCTAGCCAGTAGCAGATAAATATTTATTGAATAAATCATTAATGGAGAAATAGAAATCGCAAAGTAAAGTGCTCAGGGGAGAAGATTTGACAATGCTGACCAGGTATTTTACCTTTGGTGATCACAGTCAGCTATGTAGAAATCGGTTACCTTGTGTTACACTGAATGCCACTGAGAAGCCACAGAACAGTGGCGGGGGCCCATCCCATGAGCTCTGCTCAGTGCAGGGCTGAGAAGGCAGGGCAAGGGCACTGGTTGGGTTACTGCCAGGCATGGCGTGTCCTACCCTGTGGAGCCTTGCACCCTGTCACTTTCCACCCTCTGTGACCCTAGGAGTGGCCCTGGCACCTCATGGAGCATGTACCCAACCTGTCCCGCACCATGTTCCTCCTGCCTCATGAGAACCAGGGAGCTGTTGCTGTGCTTCCTGTGTTGTTGCCTATCTGTGGTGTCTTCTTTCCTGGTCGTCAGTCTGAAATTTTTAATTTTTTTTACAGAAAAAAATGAGGCTGAAAATTTGGAAGAAAATGAAGAGCCTTTCATTGCCCCATTAGGACTAAATGTCCCTCCAGATGTGGAGCTGGTACGTGGCACCTTCGTGGGCACTGTGCATCCTCTGTGCCACTTCAGTACATCAGGCTGTGCGGGATCTGAGAGCTGCTGGGGAAAAGGTTGCGTCCCACTGTGTTCCTTGGAAGGAAGGTGGGATTAGAGCAAGCACCCAATGTACTGGGTCAGTGTGGGAGGCCTCACCTGGTGTGGAGGGACTGCATCAAAGCTGGAGTGCCAAGGTCCATGGACGGACACAGACTCATCCTACTCGGCCCCTACTGTCAGCTCAATGCTGTGCTCTGGCATTTTTTGGTGCAGCTCTGTAGGCGCTCAACCTCCACCTTCCATTCTCTGAGTAGCTTTCCTGTTGTGATTTGTCCCTGGTCCCTGTCCAGGCTGCCCTTCCGAGGAGGACAGCCGAGGTAGGGCTCTGATCTCACCCCACCGTCTCACTTGGTAAATTTAGGTTCAATTACAACAGGTGCCAAGCAAACAGATTTTGTTTGTTTGTTTGGTTTGGTTTTTTTGGTACTGGGATTGAACTCAGAACCTTGGACTTGCGAGGTAGGCAGCAGCACCACTGAGCTAAATACCCAGCCCCAGATTTTTTTTTTCCTGAACATTCATTGAGGGATTTCTATATTCCTGGTGTTGGGGTAAGATGCTTTTTATGCATCCTCTCACATAATGCTAACAACCATATAAGGTAAGTGCCGTTGTTCTCCCTGTTTTACAGGTGAGGAAACAAACTATAGAATATTGGCTAGAGGCAGAATCTCAGACCTGGGGTCTCAACTACCCACCTGTTGTTGTGCTTTACAGGGTTTTGTGTTAGTTTTATTTTTGTTTTTTGAGACAGGCAGTCTAAGCTGACCTTGAAGTTTCTGTGTACCCCAGGCTAGCCTCCAACTCATGGCAATCCTCCTGTCTCAGCCTCCTGAGTGCTGGGGTTGTAGATGTACTGTACCATAGCCGACTTTTATAGGGTTTTTATATGCCTATTAGGAGTGTTTAAAATATTTTCATTGTACGTGCGTACCTGTGAAGGGTTCCCAAGTATTCACACTCATCAAAAAGTGTTTTTCTGACATTGCCTCACTGGATGCAAGTGCTGTGGTTCGAGTGTACATTTGGGTTGGAGTCTGGTGTGCAAAGTCACTGGGCAGACAGCAGGCACCTCCCACACTCTTCCAGCACTACTTGCTACCCCCCAGAATCAGTTTGCTGTGAATTTGTGGCTTTTGCCCTCTTCCCTGCTTTCATGAGGTGGCAGAGGCACTTGACCAGGCACCCTTGACTCCTGCCCTGGCCCACGCTTCTCAGTGTGTCAAAGCCTGTCCTTTGGGCCTAGCCTGGGGTGCTGATGCTCATGGCCTTGTGTCACCTGCTGATCATCCCGCTGTTGTTTACCTGAATGTGCTCCAAAGATGTGCTGTCTGGAGATGGCGAGCGCCCATCCTGGCACTGGACACGGAGGGTCCCGTGTTCAGATCCGGTCTGGAGTGTGTACAAGAGACCACTGAAGCCATCTCCATTCCATTTCCTGAACTTGATGCTAAAACCTTCACATGAGCTTCACTCTGTGGCACTTCACTGTCCGTACATAGACATTTTAAATGCCTGTGTAAGTATGAACATGGAGGTGCAGCATAGTTTTGTCGCCCTGTCTCGTTCCTCTTAGACTATTTGATGGCTGTGCACTCCCAGGCAGCCAACTGATGCTGCAGACAGGCACCACTCCCATGCTGACACTTCCTGTCTTTTCGCTGGAGTAGGTTTTACTTTGCCTGGAATAAAAGCCCTTCAGCCACTGGTGAGTTGTGGGCCCAGAAGCGATGCTACCCAGCAGGCCTGTTAGCACTTTGAGGCCAACTGCCTGAGAGCATAAACATGCGTACAGCCCCATGTTTCGTTGCTGCTGGCTGCAGCACTTTGGTTTGTTGGATTTAACGTAACATGTTTATTGAGCATGTGCTGTGTGCCAGGCATTGTGTGAAGCTTCTAGGCCCAGACGTCTCACCTGGTGTTCACGGTAACAAAGTAGACACAGGTTAACTGTGTTCAGGAGGAGATGCAGTGAGGCTTGGCCCAGTTGGGAGGAGTTGCTCTGGCTCAGGCACTAAAGGTTCAACTGGGCCCAGCCAAGCAGCCACCTCATGGCTTGGACCACTGAGGCTCAACTTTACTGAGTGTTGAGTAAATGAGTCTGGTTGTCATCGCAGTGTATGTGCCATGCAGCATGGCCCAGGGTGGCAGGAGGAGGAAGCGGGGTCCCCTGAGGAGGACTTTGCTTTTGCTCCTGGGGTGCAGGGACCCCTCACGGCTGACGCCTGTACCTCTGCTCCTCTGTGTCATGGCGCTGTCTTGGTGCCCCGCCTTGTAACTGGAGGGATCTGTCCTCCAGGTCCTGTGTGTCATTGCTGTGCTATGCCAGTGTGTTCTGAAGCTTGCTTGGAAGGCTTTCCTGCTGCCGCCTGTGGTTTTGTTTTCACATTTGGGTTGTGGTGATCTGATGTTAGGCAAATTGAGTGCATCGCTCTTCTCCCTGTTGAAGAAGGCCTGCCCAGCTGCCCCTGGGGGTCCTTGCTGACTTTCCAGCCCCCTACCCCCACCCTATGCTGCCCCTTCCAGTGGGCCCCACGTACGAGCCAGTCATCTGGCCACCTGCTCCACCCTGGTTGGGTGCTGTGCTTGGTCATCTTGGGATGGAAGTGCACGAGTCCTCCTCTGGATCTGAGTCCAGAGTTTCCATCCTGTGGGCTTCCCAGTCTTTGGTTCTGCTCTCCCACTTCTCAGTACTTTGCTGTATTAAAGCCACAGGGATGTTTTGAAACCCCTCCCCACCAGGTATCCATCTTGGCTCTTAGCCAAGGGCCCCTATGGGGTTCGGATGGGAGGCAGGCAGTGGAATCACTGAGCTAAATCCCCAACCCTGGTGTTCAGATGGGAAATCCAGTTGCTATTCTGGTGCTGGTGCTGGGACCAAGCATTCATTCTCCCCCCAACCCTTTTTGACTCTACCTTTGAGCTATCATTGTATAGTGAAAGTGATCCTGATATTCTCAAGTAGAAAAGAATTTGCCTAAAATCTGCATAATAAAGATGGGAAAGAAAGGTTTTTTCCAAGCCAGGGTGTTTTTTTTGTTTTGTTTGTTTGTTTTTGTATTGGAGATGGAACTTGTGCTTGTCAGGCAGGTGTGGTGGCACTGAGCTAAATCTCTGGCCTCTCAAGCCAGATATTTTTAATCTCATGTGCTCTTAATCTGAAAGCAGATATTGAACTATGTTCATAAGATGCTTTTCTGTGCGACAACAGTATTGGTTCGTCAAATTACCTTCACCACTGAGTTTCAGGGCAGGATATCATATCACTAATGGGCCTACTTTTCACATATTTTAGAACCAAAGTTGATCTGGTGAATAGCCTATTTTCCCTGAAGGATCCTTACTCCAAAGTGATCCTTAATCATTGCCATGTTTATGGAATCATGCCATTTTTTACAAGGAATCTTCTGTTTATCTAAAGCCATTGAAAATCTGCATCAGCTCCTTATTTCAGTGCACAATGGCCTTTTAACAGAGACTAATTTATTTGGGAGTCTAAATAACTTTAATTGTAGACACTTATCCTTTTTACATGTAAAGGACATTATTAATTCAGAATTAAAATTTTTAATTAATTTGTTTGTATTTTATGAAAGATGAGGCCCTGAAACTACAGTAAACATATTAAAATTTTAACTGTCCAGGTTTCATGAGAATAATTTCCAGTCTTATTTCCATGTGATTTCCTAATGTGACTTTTCTTTGATATTGAAAGTATTTGAGAGATGTGGGTTCTGGCTTCTGGTCTGGCAAGTTCTCTTCTCAGGAGGAAATGGCAAGCACATGGCATGGTAGATGAGACTCAGTAGCAAGTGAAGGTGGGGCCCTGGCTGCTGGTGGGTTACTGGACAGAGGGCAAGGAGAGGACCCGCCACCTGCATGTACCCCACCCTTGCCCTGCTCCGGGCAGGGCACCTGGCTGCCTGCAGTCTAGGACTACTGAAGCCACAAGCTGGGTCATGTAGGGGATAGGAAAGTGAGGGTGGTGAGGTGCAGAGAAGGAAGAGTCCTGTCATGAGCTGGGGGACTCTCCGACACCCAGAGGCGGGATGGGAGGAGGGATCTCCACAGCAGGTAAGCTTGCGTGGCTGCTGAGGGAAGAAAGGGGCTAGAGGGATTCTTCCATACTGAAGAGTGTTGATACATTTGTCTCTCCCTCTGAAGTGTGTGTGTATGTGTGTGTGTGAAAGGTTCACACACCATCCAAAGAGTCAGGGCCCCCGGAAGCCCACCCCAGAACCGAGATAGCTCAGAAGCATGTTGATGTGCAGGAAAAGTCCTGCTCCCATGGGTCTGTGCAGAGATAGGGTGACCCATGCGGTCGGTGTGTCTCCTTCCCCCAGTACAGGTAAGATTCAGGCGCAGACAGGCTGTTCTCATGTTTCAGAACAGGCTCTTCTCTTACCTTAGGAGGACAGAGCAGCCAAGGCTGCTCCCATGTCTAGGTTAGGTTGGTAACGCTGGTGTGTGTTTTCTCATAGCCCCCTACTGCCAAGATGCACGCCATCATTGAGCGTACAGCCAACTTTGTGTGCAAGCAGGGAGCGCAGTTTGAAATAATGCTGAAAGCCAAGCAGGCCCGGAACTCTCAGTTTGACTTCCTACGCTTTGATCACTACCTCAACCCTTACTACAAGTTCATCCAGAAGGCTATGAAGGAAGGACGGTACACTGTGGTGGCAGAAAACAAGAATGAAGAGAAAAAAAGTATGTGAGCCTGCTTCTGTCTTGGTTCAGCTTGGGGCCTGATAGGGTGGGGCATGGCGAGTGAGAGTCGGTCCAGGAGAGTGAAGAGGTGCTGTCCTAGGAGGGGCACATGCAGATCTAGGCTTGAGGATGTTCAGGAAGTCCTGCTGGTGAGCGGTGAGCCTTGGCGGTCAGTCCAGCCGGAGCACCCGTAGTAAATTCTTAGCTGATTTGTTTGACAGATAGACGTAATAAAAGTAACTCGATCCCATCCGAACAGAACTGTCTAGGTTCAGAAAGCTTTTCTCTTATTTGGCTTGCTTAACATTTCATAGAGAACATAGTGAGATCTGCACTTAGTCGAGTTATTTGCTAGTGGGTGTACTTAGGGATGGAAGTGGGTCATTTAATCGGATTGCCTATAGAGGCCAGTTGTGTCTTTTAAGCGACGTCCCTGGATGTTCCTCTATCTGTCTTTCTCACACTCCTGTCTTCCTCAGCTGAAAGCAGACGTATCAGATCAGTTACATAAATAAACCCCCTTCCTGCTGAATGCCACCCCGGCCCAGTTGTGTCATCTCATTGCAGCTTGCATCTCCTCCAGTCTTGTAGGTTTTTTTTAATTTCTGTTGCTGCTGTTTGACTTCCCATAAATCAGTAAGATTTTTGCCTTTTGATAAATGAAAGTCAGAGCTGAGGGAGCCATAGATTGAGCGGCGAGGGCTAGCTTGCTTCCTGCCTGTCTCTCTGAGCTTCTGGTGACTGTGGGGAAGGTCCTCTGCAGTGTGTGTGCTCAGGTCACCAAAATGGCCATGAGAAGCTCTGCCCTTGATTGCTGCTAGATTTTACATAATATATTTGGACCTTTTCTCCGGCTTATACCAAAATCTACTTTTGAAATCATTTTAATTGCACATATGTATGGAGGACAGTGTGGTGACCCATGTGTATAGTTAACGCCAAAATCGTGAAATGCGATTTTAATTTCAGAATCAGGGATGAACTCTGACAACGAGGATGAGGATGAGGAAGAAGATGGGAGTTACCTGCACCCATCTCTCTTTGCCTCCAAGAAGAGCAGCCGCCTTGAAGAGCTGATGAAGGTATTTATCTCCTCATTGAGCTGCACAGTGTTATTCTTAGCAAAAATGCTGTACTTGGCCTGCATTTCTGGTGTTACAAAGCAGGTCCATGAGATTTAAGCATTCAGTTTTTGGCAGCCATGCCATCTGGCTGGTCCCTGGAGGGAATGATTCTTCGTTGATTGGACAGTAAAGGTTGTCTGTTAAAAACCAGAAATTTGCTGGGTGTGGGGGCATACGCCTGTAATCCCAACACTTGGAAGGCTGAGGCAGGAGGATCGCTGTGAGTTCAAGACCAGCCTGGGCTACATAGTAAGTTCCAGGTCAGTCTCAACTACATAGTGAGACCCTGTCTCAAATCACCCCTCCAAAATAAATAAATAATAATTTAAAAATAAATAAAAACCAGAAATTCCTCTAAGTAAGGACAAAGTTTCAAGTTCTGTGTGAGCCAGGACAGTCACAGTTTGACAGGTAGTGGTCTAATGCGAAGGCTCCCTCCTTCCTTGGCTTAGCAGTTGTTATGGAGATGAAGCCCTGTGCTTCCTGGGCTCCTCTGGGCCAGCTGGAGCACTTTCCCTCAGCAAGGCAGGACTACCTATGTGCTGCCACCCTGAGTGACAGAGGCACTGGCAGAGGATGAGGACAGTCTGGATGTGTGTGACTCTGACCAAAGGTGGCACATCAAGGAGGTAAAGGGAGACAGAGTTTCAAAGTGGCCCAGGACCCTTGTCCCTGGCTTGGGAGTCAATAGCAAGGAGGGTGTTGGGCAGCTGCAAAATGAATGCTGTGTGCAGGCTGCAGGTCTGGACCAATCCCTGAGGTTATTATTCCTCTACTGGGGCTTGAACCAAGGGCTTTTGCATGGGTCTCCATGTGCAGCCCTCCTGTTACTTCTTATTTCTGAAACACAGTCTAGGTTGTTGAGTTTCCCGGCTGGCCACTCCTGTCTGAGACATGTGTGCATGTGATCCCTTCCTCCGTGCCCTGCTATAGCTGATTCCTCAGCACCTCTGTGTGCGCGTGTGCGTATGCGCACATTTGGTTGAGGTTTTCCTAGGGCATGTACACTACTGCCGAGTTGAGTCTTTTTGCAGCAGAATGGTTTTGCATGTTCAGATGCAGAAGATGCTAAGGCCCTGCGTCTTTTCTGTCCTAGCCCTTGAAGGTGGTAGACCCAGATCACCCGCTGGCAGCCCTGGTGCGTAAAGCGCAAGCTGACAGCTCTGCCCCCATCCCGCACACCGCAGACGGCACACCCACGCAGCCCTCTCAGGTGGAGTACACGGCAGACTGTGAGTACTCACTGCGTGCATCCTGACCTGCATCGCCCAGCTGCAGCATTCCCTCATCTGTTGGAGGTCCAGGAGGAAAGTGCCTGTGGCAGGGCAACCCTTTGGCCATTAGTCTGCCCATCCCCAGCATCAACTCTGCCTTTCAGGAAGGAAGAAGAGCAAGACTCAGGGCAAAAAGCAGATGCTGGCAGGTTCTGAGCCTTGAAGGCTTTCCCAGAAGCTACCCTGTGACATCCTTTACTCCTCATTGGCTGGAGTGGTGTCACCTGGTCTTCCCTCTGCAGTGCAAGCTGGGAAGTGAGCCCTGCAGCTGGAAACATTGCTGCCCTGAACAAGACCAAATTTCTGTGTTAAAACAGGAAGAAAGAATGTTGGGTAGTACTAGGTATCACCTGCACTGTAGATGAATTTGTCAGTATCTTCTGTTCTGTGGACAGTTTTGTTATGGTGTCCTGAGACCACACTGTTGCTGATGTGAAGGATTGAGTAGGTAAAGTTCTATTAAGAACAGGAAGGATGGACAGTGGGTCCTCTGTCCACCACTGTGGCTTTCTTTTTCTTTTCTTAAACGTATTGGTATGTTTTAGGCATTCAATATGATGCTCATCATTGGGAGTTTGTACCTGTACATGATGTGTCTTGGTTCTTATTCTTTTCCCCATTCCCCTAACCACCTTCAACCCCTCCACCCTTCCCTATTTACAAAGACTTTGTTTCCATTTTTTCCTTTTGTGGAAATCAGTATGGCGATATCTCAAAAAACTAAGATTAGAGGACCCATTTGACCCAGCTATTCCCCCTGCTGGGTATCTTCCTAAAAGAATTAAAAGCATCATACCACAGTGGTATATGTACACCCATGTTTATAGCAGCACCGTTTGTAATAGCTAAAACTTGGAAACAGCCCAAGTGCCCATCAACTGGAGACTGGATAAAGAAGTCGCAGTTGCTCTCTTTGCAAACACATGGCATGTTTTCAGGACCCCCAGCAGTTACAAAAACCTTCATATCTCTTCCTCCTATAGATTTTAAAAGTCATCTCCAGTATTCAAATAGTTGTTATACTGTATCATTTGGGGAATAACGGGGAAAGTTTGTACAGTATCAGTACAGTTTTCCCCAAATGCTTTTATCTGAGCTCAGTTGTGCCCACGGGTGTGGAACCTGAGGATATGGAGAGCTAGCTGCATTGTGCACCACTGAATTGTACTTGATTCTTGCTGATTGCTGTTCTTTTATCTTTTTAATTACCTGAGATGGCTCCTGGAAGCTGAATGTGTGATGTGGCTTCTAATTATGTTGGAGGCTGAGTGTTGATGAGGGAAGCAGCTCCCTCAGAGCAGTAGCAGGGACAGTCATCAGCTGTCCATGTGCTGGCCCAGCCGAGTGGCCAGCTGCCATGCTCAGATGCGGATGACCCTTCCCTGGACCAGCCCCTGTTAAGCATGGCGGCTGCTTTTGTGCCTTCTGCTTAGCACCAGCACACTCTGGTGTCATTTTGCCATGCTAAATTGATGTTCTCAGACTGTGAAAATCAGTTATTGAGTGAACTTTCTGTATGTGTCCCCAGAAAACCTCTCAGAGGAACTTGTATAGTTTCTTTAAATGATCAAATCACATTTTTGAGCCCTTTAATCAGACAAATCTTGAGTTGTAGGGTTGTGTTTTATATCAGGTCCCGCAGTCTCTCTTGATGGCAGTGTCACGCCAACCTCTGTCCATCAACTGGAGACTGGATAAAGAATACCTTTCAGTGTTCTGGAGATTGCTGCTGGCCCACTGCTCCACGGGGTGGGTTTCAGGGGGCACCTCAGGTGAGGATCTTCTTTAGCAGCCTTGTGTGGCCTCGCTTGGTCCAGCCCAGCATGGAGGGACATGTCACCCATCCCACTCCACTGCTGTCCTTGTCCAGTGTGTCTTGGATTTGCTCAAGTCATACCAGTATTCTTGCCTGTCCACAAGATCCTCTGCAGCCACGATGCTGCCACGGAGGAGAAGGGCACAGTTAGGCACAGCTCAGTCTTGCAGCATGTGACCAGGATGGCAGCACCAGCAAGAGTGGCCACTCTGACGCGACATCCCATGATCTGGTGGGGTCGGGGCCCTGAGTGAGCTGGAGTGGTTCAGGATTTCTGAGGGCTGGGCAGATTCTAGACTGCATGGCAGGGCTCTGGTGCTGCTCACACAATCCTGTGTCCAGCGGGGCAAAAGGTCCTGCTCCTCCTCCTTCCACTTCTGCCCACAGCAAGAGTGAGGCATGCGTGGAAAAAGAAGGCATCAGGTGGGTCTGACATGAGGTGTGTAGCCTCCAGACACTCCTGTGTCAGCCCCAAGGGGCACCAGGAGCCCCCTCTGAGCAGTTTCTGAGAGTCACCACAGCTGCCTCTCCAGGGTCCTAGGAGGCCTGAGGTGGGTCAGATGGCCTTATTGCAGTTTCCCAGGCGAGCTGGAGCTGAACTTGGAGATCTGAATGCCATTAAAACCTCAAAGAAACCAGGAAACACCTGTGCTGAGGTTCAAGTCTGTCCTTTTATGTATGGGCTGAGGGCTTTGTCTCGAGTTGGCCTGAAGATTGTGTTCCTGGGGTGCAGCTGCTGCACAGCCACCTTCTCCAGGTCCCGCCTTCCTCCCTGCACCCCCTCTTTCTTTGTCTTGTTCTGATGTCTCCTGTTTCTATGAGCTGCCACAGTATTGCCTCATTGCTCTAGTGAGTCTGCAGTGAAACACCCAAGGAATCTGGGGTCCTCTCTGGCAGGATGTTGGCCAGGCGGTGGTAGCCATGTCCTACACAGGTTGGCCACACTTGGGAAGTGTCTGTAATCACAGACTGACTGTGAAACACGATTGCCCTGTACCCGCTGTTGATGGAACATGTGTTGAAATGCAGCTCCAGTCGAGGAAGACTGATTGTGGCTTTGGCTTAGCTTAGTTCCCTGTGCTAAAGTTCTCCTGATCCAGTTGCCAGCAAGAGCTCAGTTGCATTTATGGCAACAGGCAGGGAGACCACACAGAGCACCATGGGACCCAGTCACCTCTGCAAAATAACATCATGGTTGGTTTCTCCGGGAAGTCTTTCATCTTGTGAATATTCACGAGCGTGCATTGTTATTACACTGTTGAAGGTCTATAGGCCAATTCTAGCTTAGTGTTTGGAATGCTCTGCTCTGGGGACAGACAGCTGTGACTTGGTCCCATTTCTGGATTCTCCCAGAGCCCTGCTTGTGTTGGTAGGAAAGGAGACACTGGAGAGTGGGGCAGACATAGCATGCTGCGCTGAGTCCTCCTCTTCCTCTGATGGTTGTGGTGTCACTGTGGGGTCTGGTATGATATCTCGCTCATGGCTCCTCTACTGTGTTGTTCTACATTCTTTGGGCAAGCATAGCCTTCTTGTCTTCTAAAACACCGGCTTTTATGCAGGAGAGAAATAATACTCACAGGCAATGAAGTAATTTTCTGAGGAGAAATTTATTTGCGAGTTTTCCCCTAGGAAAATACTCCAGAAAGGGCTGGGGATTTAGCTGAGTGGTTCTGCTGCCTGCCTCATAAGCACAAGACCCAAGTTCGATCCCTGGTACCAAAAAAGAAAAAAGAAAATACTCCAGAAAGTTAGCTGTTTTGAAAATTCCTAAAGTCACTTAAAGACTCACCTAGGCAGAGCCATGCTCTTGGGCCCTGCGAGGCCTCTGTAGCCTGAGAGCAGGGGTGCTGTGCACAGTGGATTCATGACTGAGGACATGAGGAGCAGACATCTGGGGGTAGAGAGGGCATGGCCTGCATCACAGACTACAGCCCTGGGTTGAAATGGGAGCTGTGCTTGAGTGGCCAGGGCGAGGTCTCCCTGGGACAGTCACGGATGTTTCAGTGTTCATCTGTGTGTCTTGTGCCGAACTCTGACCTGTAGAGCAAGGTGGGGGATGTTGGTGATCTCATTGTCTTCTCTCCTGCTGTCTGGAAGCCATAGGTGTGCGAAGCCACACCTGCAGGCAGAATCCACGTGAGATGCCCTGCAGTGGGAGGCAGGGTTGGCCTGGGTTTTCTGTGGGGAGGCTTGCTTGCAGTGAGGTGACCGTAGGCCGAGACAGAGTGGGAGGGGAAGCCTGCCACAACACCTACAACAGGCCAGGATGCACCCCGGGGGAGGGGTCATGGGCTTAGAATGATGGACTTTCAGTCCTCACGAAGGGAAGATTGGACTTGGTTGTGTTTTATTTTTGGGGTTTTTTTTTTTTGTTTTTTTTGTACCAGTGATCAAACTCAGGACCTTGTGCTTTAGAGGCAGGTAGCAGAACCACTGAGCTAAATCCCCAGCCCATGGACTTGGTTGTTTGGCTGACCAAGACCCAGCCTCAGAGGACTAGAGTGAATGTGCAGGGGAACAAGAAGGCCACTGTCTGTGGGAGTCCCATGACACTCCACACGTCCCTCCCCTTCTCAGTAGGCTGGCCCATGGCATGTCACTGCGCAGGTGTGTGCCACAGAGGGCTGGGCCCTGTGTGTTCGGTGGCCATTTGTGCTTCTGGGCACTATGCACCTCAGGGACAGCAAGAATCACAGTAAAGGCCGTGTCTGCCCTAGTGGGCAGGATGCCCTCACTTTCCATGGGATGTGAGGGCAGTGGATGTGTGGGCTGTGTCTCTATGCACATATTCTCACTAACCACATAGCCCAGCGAGCTGGTGTGTGCACTGACACTGACACAGGACAGGCAGCGAAGCCTGAGCTAGAGCAAGCATGTGGGAGGCGTGTGGCAAACATGCTGTCTGGGAAGACCTCGCTCCTGCTGCAGCCCCCAGCCAGCTGTCCCCACTGGACACAAGCAGAAGCAGGGCAAGGCGTGGGGCGTGGGCCTGGGACTTGGGCAGTGCAGGAACAGCAGGGGCTTCCCTGGCTGAAAGCATTGAGAGGGATCTGGGTACTGGGGAGAGGAGAAAATGGGGAGACTGTAGAGAAGCTTAGAGGAGAACGGCCGCTGAGCTCCTGCACAGCGACAGGCAGAGCAG